TTGGCTCGCACGATGCCAGATGAAAAGTATCACTCTCTTTCGATTTAATTTTTCTTATGCAGCTACAAAAGAGTCCATTTTATGAGCAGATGTGACTATGCTGAATGTTATATATTTTTCAAGTTTTTTTAATTTTAACTTTCAAGAAGAGAATTATTTCAAGCCTATGACATGATTAATTTAAAAGTAGCAGTCCCAGTAAATAGCTTAAAACTATTTTCGTGATAATCAATAACACGGATACTAATCACAGTCTTTTTGTGTAAATCTTATTTTTCGCCTTTTAGGCCATAACTTATCAAAAGCCTGATACACTGTTTATATTCGCTTATTTCCTAAATTAATAACATCGTCTAAGCCTCTCTTTGCAGAACACTGTCTTAATTTTCTCGGATCTCATGCGTTTGAAAGCTAGAAAAATCTGTGTTACTTTCACAGTGATGCACTCTGCTATGCTTTACTTTGCTGACTCGTGTCCTCAGAACCAGTAAAGATAGATACATTTTCTATAATAAACCCTTTTTTTACTCATGCTAAGCTATTACAAAAGTTTTAGTCATAACAAGGTAGAAGAGTTATAGATAAATTTGCCCAATATAACTCTTAAATTATTACTATATTCATGTTGTTCATAATAATGATGACACTAGAAATATTAGTATATACATAATTGAGGTTCTCTACCTGTTGACAGATTTATCACAATATAGCTGTCTCTGAGTCTACACAACTGCAGACTAACCTCATCACTTCCTCCTTGAATCATCGATCGAATTGGCATTTTGGCATACTGCATGAGGATGACAGCACTGCGTTTACACTGTGAAACTGTGGTCAAGCAGTAGAGGCAGCGTCGAACAAATGCCTCCAAAGTGAATTGCTGCTCTTCGAACAGTCCATGGACGGCTTCAATCAGTTCCTTGTTGCGTCGGTTCTCTCTGTTATAGGCCTTGAATACTTCTGCATTGGCCAGTGCAGCTCCCACCAGATTCAAATAGTGCTCCAGCATCTGGTCGGGTGTAGGAATACAAAGTATATTTACTTTTGAGTAATCTCATAGCAGAGCTTGTCAAACAATTAGCCCACTTAAGAAAGATTCAAAGAAATAATCTAGCAATCCTTGTAACTATGAGTGAGCAAATAAAGCCATTTTAGTAAAGATTAATTAGCAATCTTAAGCATTCGCTTAGTTACATTGTGAAAATCTAAAATTTCTGGCTCTATATGATCGAGTTGACTAACGTGTATCATGGTGAAAAAACCTAAAAACGAATATTATATGCTTAATATTCATTTAAAAAAGGTTTTGAAATGATAGGTGATTTTTATTTAGAGTTCTAGTCAATCTAGGTTGCAGAAAGTGATAAAGTGATAACTTGTATTATTAGCAGAATGTCAAACTCGGGTATAGTTTTTTAAATGGACTTTCCTCTAAAAGATGCTCCACTACATAAGATTATTCAAACAGACGAAAGACTGGCAATAGAATTTTCCCAAAATGATATGAGTAGAGCTGACGTTTCCATTGAATTTCACATAGCCTTGCTTC